CTCCCCCTGCTTGTGTTCCCTCTCTCGCTGTGTCTCTCTCTCTGTCAAATAAATAAATAAAATCTTTAAAAAATAATAATAACTCTTGGTGCTGCTCTTCCCAGTGGGTAGCTGTGTCACCTAGTTGTAAGAGAAGGGATTTCTCTGTGCTACATACATGGTGTTGGCATCACTGGGCTGCGCCAGTCAGGCTGAGCAGAGCCCCTTCCACCAGCCTGGTGACAAGAGCTGAACCTGCTCTCACAGCCGGTACAGGTGGTGGGCAGAGCCCTCAGGCGGCCTGGCCTCTTCAGTGCTGCTGTAGGTGTCCTGAAGACAGCTCCGGCTTTTCCTCCCCATCGGCGCCCATAGACCTCTGAATTTTCTTTGAGCATAACTAAGGAATATAAGGTGCATTTCTTCCTAGCTATGAAGTTACAAATTCAGGCTAGGTCCTTGTTCCAGGACAATAAACTAGTTTTGATTTGATCGGTGCGGTAAAGCATGAGTTTTCCTATAATAAATAAAAGGCCTTATTTGTCACGTGGTGGGTGTTATTTATCCGGAAAGGAACTAGGTGAGTAGTTGCGGAAAGCATGTTCTTTATCGCTGAAATTTTGTCAAGTACAACCTTCAAGTAACTGGTGACGTTACGCAGTACCTGTTCATCGTTTCCCATCGGTCCAAAATTCTGTTTTCCATACAGCATTTGGCGTAATGTAGGTTAAAACAGCTTAAATTTGGGGGCACCTGGGTGGCTCAGTCGTTAAGCGTCTGCCTTCGGCTCAGGTCATGATCCTGGCGTCCTGGGATCGAGCCCCGCGTGGGGCTCCCTGCTTGTGTTCGCTGTCTCGCTGTGTCTCTCTCTGTCAAATAAATAAATAAAATCTTTAAAAAAAAAAAAAAAGCTTAAATTTGTTTAAGGGATGCAACTGTGCAGGCAAAATACCAAGTCTTGTGCAAATACCTCCTGCTAAACGCCTTTTGCTGCCCCTGCCTAAGTTTCCCAACACATTTAAATTGAATGGTACTCCGATTTTACGAAGGCTTTTTCCCCCCCATGTAAATTGTGCCCATAAACGGCAAATGTGAGTTCCTATTATGCGTAGGCAGTGGTTTTTTTCCTGCATGTTGATGTCGGGATTCTCTAACCATTTGTTTTTCCCAAGACCGGAATTTATTTCAAAGTTCACAAAACTGAAGGACCAGTGGCAGAGCGCCACCCAGCGCCTCCGGCAGAGGAAGAGTGACATCGATGGGCTGGTGGGACACTGGCGGTTCTTCACCACCTCCGCGGAGGACTTGCTCCGCTTCCTCACGGACGCCTCCCTCCTGCTGTCTGCAGTGAAGAGCCAGGACTGCTACAGCCTCCACCAAACCAGGAGGCTGATCCGTGAGCTGAAGGTAGTCCGTGCACAGCAGTGGTGTGAGGACTTACAGGGTGGTCGCTGTTCGGAAGATGTTCATTCTCCTCAGGTCTTACGTTGTGGTTCACGTGTACTCTCTGCACGTGGGAAGACCAGCTGGGTCCCCATGACCCTCTCCAGCCTTGTCCCCAGCCTGGTGGTGTCGGAAACCCAGTTTTATCTATTCATCCCGAAAGAGTGAGGCTCTCTTGGGCTGTGGGAGTAGGGATGGAGTGGAGATGGGTGGGTAGAATGGGGGAAGTTTGGGGTGACAGATTTCACACCACCCAAGCTTTTAAGGTACTGACTGGTGAATCACTTGACCACCAGAGTCGTAATTTATAAGGAGACTCCTGCTTACTCTGGAAGGGCAAATTCATGTAAGCAACAAAGTCCTTTTTTTCTCTTATCTTTTTTATTTTATTTTAATTCCAATGTAGTTAACATACGGTGTTTTATTGGTTTCAGGTGTACAGTATAGTGATTCAACAACTCCATGCATTAGTCAGTGCTCATCAAGATAAGTTTGCTCTTACGCAACGAAGTTTTCAATCAGAGTTGTTTGCATGTTGGTTTAAAGTAATTAGTTGGCAATCTCCAAAACATGTTCCATTTAGCTGTCGAACCACTCTTCGCTGTAGAGACACAGCTAAATGAAATACCACCCTTTTGAAATCCTGTGCTCTCCACATTCATTTATCTGGTCATCAGGTATCAATTGGGTACCTGCTCTGTGCCAGTCAGTGTGGACAAAGAGCCGGGCTGTCAGGCAGGCACTCAAACAAATCAGTAAACAAACAAGGAAATGCGAATTCATCTGATTGGTCGGGGAAATCAGACAAATCCATAAATAAAAAAATAATCAGATTGCAATAAGGCGTATGTACATAATTAAAACAGAACCAGTAATGGAGGGGCTGGGTGGCTACTTTTGATTGGGTGATCTCTAGGAACATGACATTTAAACTGGAACCTGAATGATGAGAAGGAGCCAGCCATGCAAAAATCTGGGAAAAGAGCCTTTCAGACAAAAGGAATGTCTTACCTAAAGTCCCAAGATGGGAACAAGCTTCACAAAGCAGAGGAACAGAAAGAAGGCTAGTGTAAATGGAGTACGGCCAGGGAGGCAGCAGCGTGATAGAGAGTGACTTTGAGAGGCGGGCGGGAGGAGCACTTTGAAGTGTGGTAGCCAGGTTATAGTCTTGCTGTAATAGGAAGCTTTTGAAGAGGTTCAGTTGGAAGAGGGGGCAGCATGATACCTTTTGTATTTTTTGAAGATCCTCTGGCTGTCTGAGAGATTATGATAGATTGTAGAGGAGCCAGAATAGAGGCAGGAATCCCGGGCATTACGTATTTCTTCCTTGGTAACAACAATCATTGATCATTATCTCTCACAGTTCTGGGGGTTGACAAGGCTCAGTTAGGTGGTTCTTGCTTATGGTCTCTCAGGAAGATTCAGTCAGATGGTGGTGGGAGCTGGACTCATCTGAAGGCTCACTTACTTTCATGTCTAGCACTTAAGCCGGAAATACTCAGATAGCATCATTCTCCTGTGGTCTCCCCACATGGAGGCTTCTGGTAGCTAGACTTTTTATATGGCAGCTCACTGGCTTCAAAGGTACATGTCCTAAGAAAGAGATCCAGGGAGAAGCTGTATTGCCTTCTAGACCTAGCCTCAGAAGTCACAGAAATCACTTCTGCTATCCTTTGTTAATCAAGGCCATCATACGTGCTCACACAGGATCAACAGAAGGGGACAGAGGCACCACTGCTTGATGGGAGTGGCAAGGTTCTAGAAGAGCATGCCGGACTGGGAATATTGTTGTGGGCGTTTTGTGAAAAATACAGTCTGCCATAACCAGTTAGGAGGCCATTTCTATAGTCTTGGATAATTGTTACGATGGATAAGAAAAGGATGATCATAGTAAATATAAAAAAGGTTATGTTTGTAATAGAATTTACAAGGCTTGCTAATGGTTTAGATGTGGCCGATAAATAAAAATCTAAATCAAGACGGCTTTAGGGTTTTGGCTTGAGCATTTTGGTGAACAGTGTGCTGTTGAACAAGTCGGGGAAGAGTGGAAGAAAAGCAGATCTTTTGAGAAGCTTAAAATGCCTAATAGATGTCTATTTATTTGGCTATGTCAAGCAATTCCATACGCTGGAAAGACAAGTGTGGAGTGCCCGTATATTCATTGAGTTGCAGTTTCTCTTATTTGTATCTGTTCCCAAGAGTACAGTCTGCTTTTCTCCTTTGATTGGGTTATATCAGGTATTCTCAGATACCCTTGTAAATCAGTGCTCTGTTGATTGTTTTTTTAGTATCCGTTTCCATTTTGGAAAATGCCTACATTATGTCTCCCTTGAGAAATTTGAAGATGAAGGAAATCATACCTAGAATAGGAAAAAACTAATTTTTTTTTCCTCCTGAAACCAAATGCTTTTGGAAGTAGGAGTCAGCTTAAAAGTTTTTAACTTCATTTTTGTAGTGTAAATAGGTAGTTTTAGTCCCTTTAAAATAGAGCCAGCATGATATTCAAATGGACTGTTTTAAAGCTGTCCCTTTAATGCATATATTAATGCTTATCTTTAAGTGCCCATAATAAGTTCAAGTGGATATTTTTTATATTTTACCTTTTTTATTTGTTCTCTCCTTCTTTTATAACTGTTTAGCATAGTGTGCACATTCTGTTCTTGTGGGTTAGGAGTAATCTGACTCTTATACAGTGGTAATGGGTATTTGCTCTTAATTTCCGGTCTAATACTCCAGTTACTTTCTCAATACTTTTAATCCATTTATCTTGTAGGCTCTTATTCGTTGAAGTATATTTTTTATTTCTCTATGCTTCTGATCATTACACTAAGAATGTTATCTCTTAACAACTATTGGAAATTATCTTAAGAACGCATTATTTGGTGTAGTGTGTAGTAGTGTAAAACATTAGCCTTAGATGTGTGTGTGTATGTGTGTCTGTATGTGCATGTGCACGCATTCTAATCTCATTTGCCTAATTTTATCTAACATTTATTAGTAGGAAAAACTCTGAAGGGAATGTTCACAAATGCATACAATCACATTTTGATCGTATCAGAGGCTTAAGGAAATCACTTTTTTTTTTTTTCTTTTTAGAGTAAAGAAATTCATTTTCAGAGACGGCAAACTACCTTTGAACTAACCTTAGAAGCTGGGGAGAAGTTACTGAACACAGCTAACCTGGAAACTAAAGAGTTGATTGACAAGAAAATCAGTCAACTTCGGGACAACTGGAAGGACACAGAGCTCCACGTAGGAGAGCTGATTAAACAGTTGCAGAACAATGTAGAGGTAAACTCACCATTTACTCTTCAGGATATTCAGATGCAGTACGTGGAGTTTTTGTTTGCTGGGCAAAATGGGCATGATTTTAGGAAATCACAGTATTGTTAAGTTTTCCAAGGGACCTTGAATCCTAATCCATGAATCATGCCAGTTACTTAATGTAAAATCATAATAGAGCATTGAAAAAGCTCGATGTTAAGGATATAAATACTTGAGGTTCTATTTTATATCCACTTTTACGAAATAGGAAGCCTAGTTGTGTTCCATGGCAGTTCTGTATACAAAGCTAATGTTCCACATGTGGCCTGTCCTTGCGCATAGTATATGAAAATAAACACAGTGATACTTCTTCTGTCATCAGAGAATGTGCCTTTCCACATAAGCGCATGTAAGAATTTCCCAGATAGTTTATGATTATATTTTCAAGAACCAAAATGTTTTATTCTGTGCCATTGTTGGGAAAAGAATTATTTTGTTATCCTAAAATATACCGAGATGTTCTTAAGGACTCGGAGCTGCTTTGAACCTAAGGCCCTACACAGCTATGCTCTCTGCGTAATTTTGTGGTTTTTATTGTTTTTCTTTTATTTTCTTCTCTACACATTATTTAAAGTGGCCTCCGCTTAATTTTTGTTTCTCTGAGCATACCTACTCCTTATGGCCCACTTTCCTTCCTGATCTGTTGTACGTGTACCAAATCCAGATAACCAAGCTTCTCAGAGATAGTTTTGGTTTTTGTTTTTTTGTCTCTTTTGAGTAAAGAATAAGTATGTGCTGAGTTAGGGGCTGAACATCTCTCCTATGAGTAAAGTATCTGAATTTTATTCGGTATATGGGCTATGTGAAATTCATTAACTAGCAAGTATTTGTCGAGCATTTTGCCCTGGTTGTAAAACATGGTGGTAAAGGTAGCTAATGGTTTGGAGGGAGAAATAACGACTCAGTTTTGTTCCTCTCTCCACTTTCCTCTTGGTTGTGTTGCAGAGAGTTGATGTTGCTAGACAAGTGACTTCCCCTTCTGTGAATTCTGCGTTACTGTAGAATAGGGCCAACCCAGGCGTGTTTAGGTTTAAGCTGTACTGAGGAATAAGATAGTGTTTGACTTCATGTTTGTCTACTTTTAGTAACCTCAGGACTAGAAATTTATCCCAATGAATCCATTATAAATATTATGAACTTGGAAATGCAGGCAACTGTTTTCTCCATAATAGAAGGTTAAAGGAAGAGAGATGGTGTGAAAGAATGGCATTGCGGGGGTGGGGGCGGGGGCGGGACTGCATCCTCAGATCGACCCTTGACTGGTCTGCTTCTGACCGCATGTCCTTGGCCAGTTTTCTCTGAGCCTCAGTTTTCACATTTTAAAATGTGAAGCCCTGTGTGTCTCCTAAGATTATTATAATTACAGTGAGATAATGAAGTTGAGAAGGCTTTGGTAAACTGTAAAGTGCTCTAAGCAGAAGGTGGCAATCTCAGTGGTGAGAAATGTCGAGTGAAGTTTCACTGTGAAAGGGTCCCTGAAGCCAGGCTACTTCAAGAAAGAGAGAGCAGAGGGATGACATGAGACAAGAAGACAAGAAGAGTGGTTGAGTGCTTTTGCTTTATGCTGGTATTATAGTGTGTGCCCAAGACTGTCAATGTTAAAAATTAATCCTTAATAGTAGCCTTTTAAATGTGAACTCCCCCCCACCCCAAAACGTGAACTTTCCCAAAACTGAAACAGGAATAAGATTAGATAGATTGATGATATAGGGAAGGAAGAAGAAATATTTCGAAGCAAAAGCCAGTCAACTCAATAGTTGAGCCACACATAAAGCTGCGCCAGAGATATTCTGCTTTTAGACCAGGCTGCTCAAGACAAGGAAGTGGGTTTCTGTGTGATTTACAAAAACACATTTATTGGAATGGATTAAATGAGTTATTCTGTTTCTACAATTCATTCTTAATGACTGAGCCACCCAGGCGCCCCTACAATTCATTCTTAAAAACCAAAGTGCTTACCAATTTTAATACTGTTTTCAAATAGACCTGGGACCAGTGTGAAAAGAAAATCAAGGAGTTGAAAAGCAGGCTGCAAGTTTTAAAGGCACAAAGTAGAGATCCTCTTCCAGAACTTCATGAGGACCTCCACAGAGAAAAAGAGCTGATTAAGGTATTGAAAGCTGGGAAGGGGGTTCAAGATAATCACTTACTGCTTTTGAGAGAAGTTGAAGTGTTTGTTTGCTTTTCTATTCTGTGTTGAAACTGTGTTTCCATGTTCAGTCAGAAAACATTTCGCCTATCTTCTGTCAAAAAAACCATCCTGGTCTCCAAAGCAATTGGAATGGATGCTCTTGGAGATCCATGTGTGAATATGAGAAAGACTTGCAGAAGTTCTTCTTAGGAATTGGGGGAGGGGAGTTCTCCTCCAGGTCCTCTTTCTGTTTCTCTCCTCTATAATATAACATGTGCCCTTTGAGATTACACTGAAACCTGTTCCCTTAACGAATGACCTTGTGTTTGAAAAGAGAGTAAAGTATTACTATAGAATTCATTTTTTAGAAGCCAAGCGGTTGGACTTTTTGCTCAAATATAACATTTTTATAAAACCTTCCAAACTATATTCTGCTTAGTTGATACAACACTGGCAATTATTCCTGGGTATTTTAGGCCTTTGCTGAAGATTTTTGCAGAAGAATGAATAGGAGTTTGGACCGGTAAAATTCGCAGGTCAGGAACAACTCACCTCTCTTCCCTATCTGCAGGTTTGATGTTTAAAAAACATCCAGAGTCAAATGGAATGATCTTTTATCTTGATCAGGAATCAAACTGAAAAAATTAGGAAGAAATGAGTATTCTCATCCTTCAAGCTATGCTGGAAATTAGTGTGCTTCAGTCTGCATCTTTTTTCTTCATTGTAAAAATATTCCAACATGGAAAAAATTTCCAACATAAATAATATGACAAACTGCCATGAAACCATCACCCAGCTGAAAAAATAAAACATTTCAAATACAGTTGACATGCCCTGCATAATCCCCAATGTACTTCCCCTCCCCAGAGGGACCCACAACCCTGAATGAAGTGTTTTATCATTCACGTGCACTACTTTATAGTTTTCCTACATGCGCGTGTAGCTCTCAATGAAATATAGAAGTATTACTTTTGTTTTTCAACCTTATATAAGCAGTGCCATTACTCCATACTAAAGTCATACAGATACATTCCTACATTTTCAAGTTTTATTTTGTACATTTATATCCTTATTCATTTAAGAATTGATTTTTGCATATGTTTTGAGGTAAAGATCCAATTTTTAATTTACTCATAATGGAAAATCACATGGATGACCATCGTCCTGGTGCCCATTCTCCAGTGTCAAATATCAAGTTGCCTTATATGTGGGATTTTTTTCTTGGGGCTCTATTCTGTTGATTTGCTTACCTCAGCCTTTATATCAAATTATCTTGATTACTGTGCTTTTTTTAAAATAACAAATCCTCATTTCAGGCGTGATGTGTACTCCTACTTTGTTCTCCCACGTGCGTATGGATGTCCTTGGGTCTTCGATCTTCCACAACATTTAGAAGCAGTTTGTCAAACTAGGAAAAGTCCTGATAAGAGTTTTAGTGGAATAGTATCAAATTCATAGATACATTGGGGAAAATGAACATCTTTTTGATACTGAATACTCCTGTTCCTGCAGATGGCATGTTTCTCTCCTTTTAGTCATGTTCAATAATGATGTATAATTTTCTTTATGTAGTACTATACATCTTTTGTTAGATTTCTTTCTTGGCATGTTATTTTTGACACTTGAAAATACTTTTTCTAATTATATTTTCTATTTATCACTGGTGCCTAGAAATAATAACTTTTGGTTAATATTATATTCAATCATCTTGCTAAAATCTTTTGTTAATTCCAATAATTTGCATAATCTTTTAGGTGTCTATGTAGACAGTCACCATCTGTGAAAAATCACTCTTCTTTTGTTTCTTCCTTTCTTTCTATATATTTTTTTCCTGTTCTTTCTATACTGGTCGGTACCTCCAGAACATTTTTTAGTATAATTGATAGGTGGCTCCTTCATGTCATTCCTGATTTTAAAGAGAATAATTCTGACATTTTACCACTAAATATGGTATTTGCTGATGATGGCTTTATTAGGTTAAGAAAATTCCTACCTATCCCTAATTTTCAACATGTTTATGATCTCTACATCTTTAGTAGATCTAGATGTCAGGGACAGTGGAGAAAATTTGGAATCATACTCTCAGTTGACACATAGAGTTTCCTTCCATAAAGTCTAGAAACCAGTGCAGAATGTGAACTGTAAACTCCTAAGAAGGCATAGTATTTCCAAAGTGTCACACTCTTCAGCTTCCAGTGGGATCTTTTCAGCTTCTACAGCCTCAGTGTTCTATCTCTCAGTGGAAAAATCAGGAAGAGAGACCAAGAGCATTAAGTTCACTGATCCCATGACCATATTCCAAAAAGAACTCAAGTAACCCGAATCCTGTCTAGGAGAGTGTTTATCACCCCTGAGTCACTTGGGAGAGATACACCAACCATTTGACCATCTGAGCTTTACTCTCCTCCTCAGAAGATGACATTCTCATTACATCTAAGTTGACATATAGACTAGCACTTCATTACATACTAGCTTTTCACTGTTACCAAAATTGGTCTAGTGGACATCTGTGTTTATAAGACTTGTCAAATGATTGAGCTCGGGGGACAGTTCTATTTTTAAAATAATTTTTCAGGGCGCCTGGGTGGCTCAGTTGGTTAAGCGACTGCCTTCGGCTCAGGTCATGATCCTGGAGTCCCTGGATCGAGTCCCACATCGGGCTCCCTGCTCAGCGGGGAGCCTGCTTCTGCCTCTGACCCTCCCCCCTCTCATGTGCTCTCTCTCTCTCATTCTCTCTGTCTCAAATAAATAAATAAATAAATAAAATCTTTAAAAAAAAAATTTTTCAGTTAGTAATATTGTCACATGGTTCAAAATTCAGAAGGTGCAAGAGGCATACATGAAAATTCTTTCTCCCATTGGTTCCTCTCCACAAAAGCAGTCAGTGTTACCAATTTGTTTTTGTGTGTTTTTTTTTTAATCTAATTGTTTTATTCCAAGCCAGCAATTTTTCTAGCATCCTTCAGAGAAGGGTCTTTTCTTTCACCACTGATTTATGAGTCCTTCTTCAGCATGTATTAAATTCTAATTCAGCAGTCAACAAATTTTTTTTTAAAGATTTATTTATTTTAGGGGGTGGGGGAGGGGTAGAGGGAGAGGCTCTTAAGCAGACTCAGCGCTGAGGGTGGAGCCCAATGTGGGGCTTGATCCCCAGACCCTGAGATCATGACCTGAGCTGAAACCAAGAGCCAGTTGCTCAACCGACTGAGCCACCCTGGGGCCCCAGTGTTACCCATTTGTTGTATATTCTTCCAAAGATAGTCTATGCATATACAGGCCAATATTTATATAGCTACACATTCATTTTTTCGTCCTGTTTTTACCCAAATGGTAAGGTGAAAAATGGGACTTGACAACCCCCCTGGTAACTGAGGGCACAGGTGGAGGTTTTAATGCCGCCATGCTGTGTCCGAGTCCAGTCAAGGACTGTGCAGCTTCACTTCATGTGGTCAAACAACTGATGAGTCCGAGAAAGCTCCTCTGAGGAATTAGCTTTGTGTCTGAGATCTGAAAGTGTAAGTAGGAATTAACTAAATATATTTGTGGACGCATCAGGGTGAAATAAAGAAATACAAATTTAGGGCGCTTGGGTGGCTCAATCGTTAAGCGTCTGCCTTCGGCTCAGGTCATGATCCCAGGGTCCTGGGATTGAGTCCCACATCGGGCTCCCTGCTCGGCGGGAAGCCTGCTTCTCCCTCTCCCACTCCCCCTGCTTGTGTTCCTGCTCTCGCTCTCTCTCTGTCAAATAAATAAATAAAATCTTTAAAAAAAAAAAAAAAAAGAAATACAACTTTAAATAATAACTAATCATTATATATATTAAAGTTGTCTAAACATATATATATATCCATACATATATATATGGATATATATATATAAAACTCCAGAAAGTATGTGGAGATGATCATACCTCTTAAAATGTAATTTGGCAATATTTATTAAGAATTATAAAAATGTCCATATTCGGGACGCCTGGGTGGCCCAGGCGGTTAAACGTCTGCCTTTGGCTCAGGTCATGTGGGATCAAGTCCCACATCGGCCTCCTTGCTCAGTGGGGAGCCTGCTTCTCCCTCTGCCTGCCGCTCCCCCTGCTTGTGCTTGCTCACTCTGTCTCTCTCTCTCTGTCTGACAAATAAATAAAATCTTAAAAAAAAAAGTCCATATTCAAAAGTTCTACACCTGTTAATTATCCTTTCAGTCATAGGAAGAAACCAAGTATCCAAACCAAATCAATTTAAACCTGGCTATGGAAAACAGAAACAGGCCTCCCTACTGTGCAGGCAACTGAGCCTACACTGGTGAGCAGGGCCTTGGACAGGCTGAGCTTCCTGCCACCAGACTGGGGAATGCTGCATGAAGCTCCGTGGTCTTGGGGGTCTCTCGTTTTAAGTCAGTGAGTAGCACCCTTCCACCTGTGAGTCGTCCCCTTTATATTCTGTAGCCAGTGAAAGTGTTCCACACAGAATCTGCTCTCATCCACTCTACTAGAATCATGAGGGTAAAACTAGGTAACAAGAGTATAAAGTGGGGGACGCCTGGGTGGCTCAGTCAGTTAAGCGGCTGCCTTCGGCTCAGGTCACGATCCCAGAGTCCTGGGATCAAGTCCCACATCAGGCTCCTTCCTCAGCGGGGAGCCTGCTGCTCCCCCTGCTTGTGCTCTGTCTCTCTCTCTGACAAATAAATAAAATCCTTAAAATTAAAAAAAAAAGTATAAAGTGATGATTTTTCTTCTGATAAAGGTATCTCTGAATCTCCATGCAACCTTGAAAGAGAATTTTCTGGGCCATTTTACTGAATGTAAATTTTTGTCCGCAAATTATGTGATCATGCCAGTGTCGCTTTTAGAACTCTGAAAATCAGTCAGAATTAACATACTTTTATTGTTGCCACCCCGAAGAGTCTTCTTTCTGTTGCAATAGGCAGGTATGAACGGAGATCCTTAAAACATGCTGGAGAATGAAGAATTGTGAGCACAATAAGAATCTGGAAGACTCTTGAGTATTCGTTCCAGCACTTTCCTGTTGTGAAAGCAATCTTCTCAAGTCCTAGAAATCAAAAAGTTTAAATCTGACACATTTTAAATAACAGTGGTTTCCATGACCAGAGAGATTTTCTGCTAACCAAGTTCTGTCAGTTATTAGGGAAGAATTTATTTTTTTCTTCCATTATACTCATTCTTTTTGAAACTTAACCAAAATAATCCCCTTTAGACAGAAGCTGTTGTTATGAATGTCACGGTAGCAACAATGCATTTCTTAGGGGTTTTTTTTGTTTTTTTTTTAAGATGGAAAATCACACTTTATACAACATTTCTGTAACATAGTTTCAGAATTAAAAGTGGGGGGGCGGTGCCTCGGTGGCTCAGTCGTTAAGCATCTGCCTTTGGCTCAGGTCATGGTCCCAGGGTCCTGGGATCCAGCCCCGCATCAGGCTCCCTGCTCTGAGGGAAGCCTGCTTCTCCCTCTCCCACTCCCCCCTGCTTGTGTTCCCTCTCTCGCTATGTTTCTCTCTGTCAAATAAATAAATAAAATCTTTAAAAAAGTGTGTGAGATTGTTGCTAGACTCCAAAAATAATTTCTTCTCAATATAGGTAAAGACCTACATGTTTTTAAAACAACTAATTATATAAAAATGTGAACTACCTGAGGAAATGAAAATAAAGGTGGAAAAGTTTTGAGAAAAAGGTGGTGAAGAAAGAGCAGCCGCTGCCTTGGGCTGTTTCTCGTTCAGAACATCCCGCCCCCTCCCCCGCTCCCCTTCCCCCACCCCTCCCCCAGAGTCCAATCAAAAGATTAGCCTACAGGTTTGGAAACAGCAGCAGCGTGAGTTCGAGTGATTCCCCCCCCCCTTGTGTTTAAATGCAGGAACTAGAGAAGTCTTTGGGCAACTGGACTCAGAACTTGAAAGAACTTCACACTATGAAGACCGACTTAACCCAGCACATTCTTGTGGAGGACGTGATGGTTTTGGAAGAGCAAACAGAGCATTTGCACAGACAATGGGAGGATCTCTGCTTAAGAGTAAGTCAGTTAACTGCAGGGCACGGCTGTTCTGGAGTTTATTGAAATGTCTCCGAAGGCCAGACAAAGTAGAAAGGGGCTTAATTTCATTGAACCGGAGGCCCTTTGCAGTTGGAGCCCGGCCCGCTGCTGTCCCTTTAGAAGGCAGCACCATGGGGTAACAGATTTGACCCTTTGTTTCTCCAGGGCTCCGTGCTGGTACTTTGTACACTTTTAATAAGCTTTTTAAAAACTCACCTTAGATAGGGGTGGGGGGCGGGGAGGGATTGCGATTACCAGCAGCTGTGAGCACTCAGCTCTCTCTGTTGTGTAGATGATAAATTCCCATCGGGACATCAGAATCAGGACTTCAGCAAAGAGGTCTCGTCTGGCCTTAGGGCAGTATCTCTCTGGGCCCAACAAACGGCAGGCGTCCTTAGTGCCCCGCACAGGGGTGTTTTATCTGAGAACTCTGTTCTCGTGCAATCCGATGTTTCTTTCAAGTAGTTGGCTTTTTTCAAAACTCTAAAAGAAAGGATCAACAGCTCCACTTAGTATCTCAGTGGATCCCTTCTACTTATTAAAAATGAGATCGTGGTTATAGTCCGATACAGTACATGTTTGTGACAGGAGGGAACCAAAGGGTTCAAATAGATCTTTGTTTCAAGAACATAGAATTCTAAGAAAAATGAATTCCTTAATCTCACTTTTGTGAATTAAGAGATCTATTTAAAAGTTGACATTTTTTTAATGCTTTTGGGTGCATTTTAATAAAGTAAAATCATTTTTCCTTCTTGGTTTTAGTATTTAATGTTAATAATGAACTGTAATTTTAAATGTTCTATTAGAATTTTTATTCATATTTTATGTAAAAAAAATATTTAGGATACGTGAAAAGTATCCTAGAAGGAAGGCAGAAGCAGAGACTGGGGCCCAGATGTTTCTAATTGTTACCATTAGGAAACCAATCAGAATGACGCTGTGCAAAATGCCAGGATTTTCAAAAGCTAAGATAAATAGATGCCCTGAGGAATGGAAACACAAAACTTGTTTTTTTAGGGATAGTTCTGAACACATTTGGCTGGGTGGATGTACAAGCCTTAGGTATTTTTGCCTTACTCTGAAAAGATCACTTTGTTTCCTTGTCCAGAGCAGGAAAGCCTCCGGGAGTTGCACCTTAGTTTCCCCATCTGTAAAGTAGGGGGTTAAAACTTTTATCAAAACTCTTTTAACTCTAAGATTTTAGAGATTTTTAAGAGCTGAGAATAATTTTGTCCATTTAGAAAGGCTGATTTGCATTCTTTAAATTTATATTTAAGTTGTAAATTTGAACCTTTTAAGGAGGGAAGAGCCTTTGTGGAAGCCAGCTTAGGGGTTGCTGATGTATAATGGAGTATTGGGTATTTGGGGTCAGCCTGCTTACTACAGACTAGTATTTGGTTCCATTTCCATAGTTTCCATCTAAAGCCATAGTGCTTAATGGGAGGATAGATTAAATGAGTGCTGTGCATTTGTTTTTTATTTTACTTTGCTTTATTTTTGAAATCTCCCACTAAAATATTGAAATAACTTCAATTTTGTAGTCCATTTGCATTACACATGTTAGATTTATGTTGTGACCTAGATTACAGTTTTTAAGTTAAATAGGCAGGACATTGGTCTTAAATAGGAATAAGGACTTGATCATGTTTAAACAGGTAAAAAGATTTGGGTCATAAAACTGTAAATGAGCATGTAGCAAGCCATCAGTAAATGTATGTTGAAAGAACAAGGATCAGAAGAAATTTGGGTGATGTTTAATGTATTTAACCTTCCCTGTTTCTAATTTTTAATATAACCTGGTAATAATAGATATGCATTGGATAAAACTGAATTCTTTTGGTCAGTTACACTTCAGACACAATCTTTATTTTGTTGCTTTTTATGGCACTTACCAAAGGTGTAACTATTGATGTTGAACCCTAGGTATTAGGTAAACAGTGATTTAAGTCTGTAGGGTTACTGATGAAAATGAATGAAATTCCTAGTCTTTTTAATAGGGGGGAAGGAAAAGGAAATGTTTTCCTACCTGCCTATATTCAGCTGCCAAACGCATTTTCATTTCCAGGTGGCTATACGCAAACAGGAGATTGAAGACAGACTCAATTCATGGATTGTGTTCAATGAAAAAAATAAAGAGTTGTGCGCATGGCTGGTGCAGATGGAAAACAAAGTTCTACAGACAGCAGATATTAGTATTGAAGAAATGATTGAGAAGTTACAGAAGGTAAGCAGGAGTACCCCGATGATTGCACTTATGACTACCACGGAATTCCCTGCTCTTGCTCACAGGCTCAAAGTGGCATAATGTTATAGATCCATTTCTATAACATTGCAGAAATATGAAGAGCCTTTCTCACTATCTTTATTCCTTCTTAGAGAAAAGCTGGTAAGTGAGGATTCCAGAGAGATGGGAAGTGTGGGACCATTCCAGGGGGGGCACTGTGCTTGCTGTGCTTTCTCTCGGGAAGTCTGGCCAGAGCAGGGGCTCTCGTCAGCTTAAGCATCAGGTCACACCCCCAGCGACTTACGGCTTCTGGTGGCTACTATGAAGGAGCTCTCCTCGCCAAAGGGGAGGGGCCGGCGGCAGCTGGGTTTATAAATCTGAAATGGCCACCAGGTGCCACAGGGAAGGGCAGAAAGAGCATTGTCGGGGCGCCTGGGTGGATCAGTCGATTGAGCATCTGTCTTTGGCTCAGAGAGCATGATCCCAGTGTTCTGGGATTGGGCCCTGCGTTGGGCTCCCTGCTTGGCAGGGGAGTCTGCTTCTCCCTCTCCCTCTCCCCCTGCTCATGTGCTCTCTCTCGCTTGCTCCCTCTCTCTCAAATACATAAAATCTTGGGGGGGGGGTGGATTCTTGGTGCAGTCATCCAAAATGGCACTTAGTGATGATATAGGTTAATTTAGTTATACTCTGTTGTCCTCGGTGACCCAGTAGGTTAGATTAGAACAAATCTGGGAGGGGAAACCAAGGCTACTGAATTAAGAAAGTTAACTACTGGGGGCACCTGGGTAGCATTTGACTCTCGATCTCAGCTCAGCTCTTGATCTCAGGGCATGGAGCCTACTTTAAAAAAAAAAAAAGTGCTGCCTTACACATTACACATGTGCCAAGTGGGCGTTGTTTGACTGGTTAGCTCCTCACTGACAAGTTGCATTAACAGGTGTGAAGTTTTTGTTGTTTTTTTTTTTTACATTTCAAGAGGCAGCTGTATGCTTGTGACTGGCGAAGAAATGAGTTTTCAGTAGCAACTGAGGCTTTGTATTTTGGTACCTTTGCCAGGACTGCATAGAAGAAATAAACTTGTTCAGTGAAAACAAGTTACAGTTAAGGGAGATGGGTGACCAGTTGATGGAGGCCAGCAACGAGACAAGAGCAGCTGAGATCGAGGACAAGCTCCACAGAGTCAGCGACCACTGGCAGCACCTCTTTGACGTCATTGGATCGAGGTGAGAAGTGGCCTACGGGTTACTCTTATTCCCCGGGCACAGTGGTTACTTCACAGACCTAGAAACTGAGCTCAGTCGTGCTTTGAAGGCAGTCCAGCAGTTTTATAAGCTTAGAAAGGCGAAATTTGGTAAAAAATGAGTGGAAATTCTTATTTCGACATTTTAGGAAGATTAGATCATAGTATATCACGCTTTAGTATTTTTTCCTTTAGCTTAAAATTTTGCATGAAGCTAGGTTTAAATGAGAGTTGGAAATCTAACGAGAGAAGAGATCCTTGAGGAGGGACTATGTGGAGATTTTAACTCTGCTTTAGGATTTGCATGTCCCCCAGATGAAATCCTGCCTGCCTATTCCTGCTTGTATGTGCCAATGTAAGTAGGTCAGGACACAGGCCTGATTTCCAGATGCTGGTCTGCAGGTCCCCCACTGCCCTGCCCCCACTGCAGGGGTTTGGCACACTCGAGGCAGGGGTCCTCCACAAGTGTGTGCTCAGCATGCCAGGCCCCACTGGGCATCTGGTCCTAAGATGTGGGCTTAAGACACATGTCTGTGGCCACAAATCAAAGCTAAATTCCCTAGGGCAACCTTATCAGAAATAAGACTGGTAATTTTATCTCCCCTCACAAATTAATGAAGGTGATGCCCCCCCCCCCAAAGCTTTTAAGGGCCTTTTGTCTTCACATTCTCTCTCCAAAGACAGACCCCCAACCAAAGTGTTTTTTCACGTGCAGCCTGACATAGGAAAAAATGGTCACTCAGCTCTGGGACCACCCATGCAGCTTTGTGTTTATACCAGCTGAGTGAGTCTTTCCCATAGTAGTGTGTTTAGGTGTTTTGAACACACATATAAAGCAGAATATACAGGAGAACCTGTAAGGAGAATGAAGAATTAGGGAGTAATGAAAATAAGATACTCTTAATAATTTGGCATTTATTTCCTTGACCTCATTGTTACTGTAAACTATAAGTGAACCTAGTTCAATCAGCAAGGGCGCCAGGTTAAGTGCTATGAGAATTTACAGACAGGAAGTAAGATGAGTCAATTACATTAATGGGAGCAGCTGTAAAGCCAAGTGGTTTGAGAGCTCAGAGCTTGTCTTCCTGGAGTGGGGTTGGGGATTAGGAAGAGCCTTATAGAAGAGGGGTGTTACCAGATGGTCCTGAGTGAGAGGTTGGGATCCTTGAACATTACTGGTGGCAGAGACAGACGTTTGTTGTGAGCAAAAAGGTACAGAGATGGGGCGCCTGGGTGGCTCAGTTGGTTGAGTGTCTGCCTTCAGCTCAGGTCATGATCCCAGGGTCCTGGGATCCGACCCCTGCCCCTCCCCCTGCTCATGCTCTCATGTTCTCTCTTAAATAAATAAGTAAAATCTTTTTTAAAAAAGGTACAGAGATAGAGCAGCATGGAAGTCTTTCAGGAAATGACAAGAAGCTCCATTGGTTCAAATATAGGAGATGAAGCTAGAGAGGTAGGTTTAAGCTAAAGCTTAAAAGACCTTCAATCTCAACTGAAGACTTGGCCTCTTAAATAAAGTCTGAGTCATTCATGGTTCTTTAGCAGGCGAAGGCCTGCTGAAGACAAATATTAGGGTGATTTGGCTGGCAGCGTAGGCTGGGCTGAATTCGACTTCTCTTTGTGCCAGTTGGAAAAAAAAATCTGTATAAATCCATGGCAGTAACCCAAATAGGGATTAAGAGCGCAGGTTTTGAGCATGTCCTGACTTCTCACTTACTTACGGTAGAAACTTGAGTAGTATCTAACCTTTCTAAGCCTCAGTTTCCAAATCTGCAAAAAGTGTCTAACAGCGCTGCTTATGTCAGAGGCTGCTGTGAGGCTGGCTGGCGCATGTCTCGCGTGTGGCCCAGGACCAGCGTGTGGAAGCCAGCATTTACTGAGTGGCTATTATCACTGTTTTTCCCTAGTAAGACTCAAAGACAAAGTTCCATGTTTGTTAAATGGGAGAGGATTTCCTCAGTTGTTTCTAATACTGAGCGGTCTTTCCTCCATGAGACCAGTGTCTTGAACTATCTTATTTCCAGTGCTTAGAACAGTGCCTCGGATATCTGTTGAAATGAACATTCCAGTGCATAAGAATGTGATCATTTCTGTTGGGTAAATTGTGTCTAGTATGTCTTTGTTGACATTGTCCTTACGTCCTAAATCGTCTTGGGCACCTGGCACTGATTGAGGGTGTGATGATACCAGACGTGTTTATGGATCATTCAGGAACAGGGTCTAGATTATGCTTCCTGAAGACTAGAGTGACAGCCTATTTTTAATCATTCATGCTTTGGTTCTATAACTTTGGAGTTTAATAGGCTCTTTCCTTTCCTCCCTTCTCTCTGGCTGCCTGTCTTCAGCCAATTCCTTGGTGGGAAAGAGAGAAAACAGCAAGTGAAATTTCATAGTCTTCTTGGAAGGAGCAATTAGCAAAGTAAGGAGTTGAAATAATAGCAAATGTATTGGCTACCAGCTGTATTCTTGACTGTGTGCTTAAAAAGTATGAACTTAATCTTCTTTGTAATTCTGAAAGGTAGATACCATTATCCCATTTTATAGATACGGAAACTGAGACACTGAAGATAAGTAACTTGCCCATAGTTACATAGCCAGCATGTGAGGCCACCAGGATTTCAACCCATAATTGTGTTGCTTCCCTGCTACCCCAGACTCTTCTGGTTTGTAATGAGGAGAGCAAATGAGAGTCTAATCCCTTCAAAACTGAAGGACTGGGAACAGAGTAACTTATCTTAAAGCAAAGACCAGGTGAGTCAGATGGCTGAAAGCCTGAGAAACTCTGAGTTGAGTTTCCCCTTCAGGTGAATTTGTGGATTGAGGCAGCAAGCTGGGACCTGCCATAAATCAGCCTCATGTAGAATTAGCTCCTTGTCTCATCTCTGACACTTGATTTCCTGCTGGGCCCTACACAAAGGCATCATCACTGGGGAAGGGGGTTAGGGGCCCAGGCTGCAGAATTTAGATTTGAGCAGTGCCAAGCAGAACCTATAGTCCTGCAGGATGCACAGGCTTGTTAGCCCATAGAATTCTGGACACCATTTAACCTTTTCTCTCTTGCTCCCAGTATTCTGCTGCTTCACTCCTATAGCAGGGGCAACATTTCATAAGTAAGATTTGGAGGGAGACCCTACATAAGTACCCAACCTCATGACTTCAGGATTTTAACTACAAACACTTAGAATGGTGTTTAAAAGTCTATGATCTCAGTAAGTCAGGTTTAATTCACTGGGAAAAAAAATTTTTTTTAAGGCCTGTTGTTTTGGGTATGTTCTCAGCAAAATAGAGGTAAATTTCAAAAGACTTGATAAAACCATTTCAAGTAGTAGGCTTCCTTATGGGATGGATAGGGGAGGAAATTGGTGGTGTTTTGGAAGTTAGGTTCCTTGTATAAATCCTTTCATTCTTGCAACAATCCTGCAAGGTCCGTATCCTCTATTTTACCGAGAGGCACAGTGCGGGTCAGAGAGGGTAAATAACTGACCCCAGGGCAGAGGCGATTCTGCACAGGGTGGGGATGAAACCAGGGTCTGTCCGTCATGCCGCACCATGCATCAAAAGAGCACTGGGCTCCTTTGAGACCTGGCCTTTTAGAGGTAGTTTATTAGAATTTTTCTAAAATGTAATCTCCGTGTGGAATTTATTGTCTACTCCAGAGCAACGGTTCTCAAACTTCAACACGTATCAGAATCCCTAGAGGGCTCAGGAAAACCTGGGTTGCCGGACCCCACCCTCAGAGCTTCTGATTCTGTAGGTCTGGGTGGGGCCAAGAATGAGCATTTCTCACAAGTGCCCGGGTATTGCCAGCGGTGCTGGTCAGGGGAACAGGGAGTAGAGCGAGCAGCAGGGCCAAGTGACACAGTGCTGCACCAAAAGTCAGAGCCCCTGGACCTGCCACCTACTATGAACAAGCCTTGTGACCTCTGTGAGCCCCGATCTCCTTGTTGATAAGCTATGCACCAGAGCCTGGCAGAGAAAGCAGCAGGACAGCGATGGGTCTGCCCATCCACATCCACTGTTAGCCTCTGGTGCAGTTCAGTGTGGTTATATGGTAATAGAGGAGGAGAAAGCAAGCTCAGACCCAAACCACTGTTCTTTCTCTCCTGGTAAAGTGTTCTTCAGCTTGTATAAAATCATTAAAGCAGAGAACCTGAGGGCTACATCTCCTGAAATAACCAACTAATCAAAGGAGGGAGCAGGGGAGCCTAAGTCAGTCTTAATGCTGATTCCTCACATAAGGTTACATAGGCCCTGGTGTAGACATCAGAATTCACAGAACTGGCTCTCCCATCAGAATTTGCTGCAGGAGCTTTTAGCAATCCTTGTGGGCCCTGGAGCAGCTTCTTACACTTGTAACATCTAAACTCTTTTTTTTTTTTTTTTTTTTTTAAGATTTAATTTATTTATTTGACAGGGAGAGACAGACTGCGAGAGCGGGAATACAAGCGGGAGGAGTGGGAGAGGGAGAAGCAGGCTTCCCGC